TGTAATTTGTAGAATTTTAATGTGTAAATAGAACATATTTGATCTAGATGTAGTGGGACAAAGACCCTAGTGCTGCTTGTGATGACTTTTCAAAGTGGACTAATACACTATTTGAAACTCCAGCGTACCTGCTTTCATATGAATTAGTGCTTTGTCTAGTAGAACAGCAATAACGTTAATTAAATCATGGGAATTCTGTTTCAAAGGCTTCTAGCATTCAGACAGTAAACCATTGCTGTTTAAATACAAGTGGAGAATTATTTGACCAGGGAGTGAACCTGGTGGGTGTTACATCTGGCAATCTATTATTAATTTCTTAAAGGTCTACCGAATGTATGAGTCTTTTTCTGCACTTAATAAGGAGTTATTCATTGAACTTACTTGAAAACAAGTTTAAGATGCTGAACCAGCAGAATACTTGAGGAGGATTAGTGAGCTATAATGTGCAAATGGCAAGCTGGCAAGCTTTGTACTTTTTTTTTTTTCCTTGTTTGGAGATTTCTGTTTTTTGCTTGTTCTTAAAATTAAAAACCTGATTTTTCACAATCTGGCTAGAGAAACAATGAAATGTGGAGACAGGAAAAACCTTGAGGTATTAAAGGAATTATTTGCTTTTTTATGCAAGTTTGTACCCTTTTTCTCACTGGTAGGAAGACTTAAATGTAATGCTTTTACTGCTTCACTTTATGATGCAGATTTGTAAGAGATACATAAATACATGCACAACAAGAATGGTTAATGAACACGTGACACTAGTTCAAATAGAGTGGTACACAAATATGGGGTTCTCTTTTGGCAGTTAGTTTAATGGCACATCTCTTGTTAAAGTGTTCAAGGAAACTATAAGTCTATAAGTAATGGATCTTTTATGAAAACTTGAACCGTTAATTCCAGTCTTGGTGGATTCTATGTTTGTCAGGCTCCAGCTTGACAAGTTTAACACTATATATCAATTGTTGCACTTCACGAAGCAGTTTAATGAAGCTATCTGTCTCTTTAAACGTAGGCTATTTTTTGGAGCTGTGTGAACAAGTTCTCGTTCACGGTAAGCAGTTTGAAGCAGCTAAACTCTAAAGTGGTTTTCATCAGAGGGAGGAAGAAAGTAAACTAAAGAGTCTGAAATATAACTTTTGGTGGTTTTGTTTTTGTTTTTTTTGCACAGTGAAGTATACACTGCTAAGCTCTGACTATCAGTTGTGGGAAAGAAAACTCTTCATAGGGAGAAAACTGCTCTTTTTCAGTGATTCTTGATTGGTTGATTCTGTATAGCAACAACAGTTTGGGTACCTACCTGCTATTGTTATCATCCATACAAGAACATAAGTCATTGCAGAAATCCATGCTGCTGAAAATAAAAATGTCACCATGAACCAGTTCCTCCAAAATTGTCTTCTGCAATCTGGTATAGTCAAAAAGAGCAGTGTAATAATAGGAAGGGATAACACCCACAGAATTCTCTTCATATCTGCTTCAGGCATGGTAAAGACGCTTGGATGATCTGTTGAAGAAAAAGTAACTTGTCTTAAACTGTAGCATTAAGTTTAAAGTGTTAGCATACGATCATACAATATGCCTCTACTTGTGAAAATACTGGAAAAAGGTAAAAGAAATTCTTCCTCAAGTTCTAACTGTAGCCTTATTACTACCTACATCAAACTGGACTAAACTCTGAAATTAAACTTACTTTATTACCATGTCACTAGGAGAACTAAGGTAGATTAAAAATGAACTTTTCTATGTAGGTTTACACAAAATGCTTATTGAGAATAAGCATGAACTGCTGTGTGTTTTTTTTTTTTTTTAACCTAAGTGAAGAGGAAACTGATGATCTGTAGCCACGTCATAGCTATTCCTTTACCTCTGTTATACATATTTTGGGCTATGAACCTGCCATTGTCATAAGATAACAGTATCCAGTAGAAGATAACATAGCAGTTATTGCTGAAGTCACTCATACTCTATTAAGAACATCTTAAAACCTACTCTTTATTAAAATTGATTTAGACAGGCATGCAGAGTGCCTGCATGAGGCACATAGCGACAACTGTAATAATACTTATACCTTCAGAGATTTCATCAAGCCCATGCAAACTTGTTGAAAGTTGTGAGTAGTTCAGTTCATCCTGAAAAATTCCACTATCTGTTCTTGACTGTTGACGAATTAGAGGTCCACTCTCTTCCCTCCATCCAACTAGCGGCTGCTGCTCAGCATCCTCTTCCATAGCTTTTGCAAAACATGTACAGCAGGGACTGAACTTCTTCATGATGTATTGATTGATTTTAATGTCAAAACACAGTACCAGAATATAACATCCATATATAAATAATAAGGAAGCACTTTCATACCTAGGATAAGAAATGGATTTTACATGATGTGTTATTAAGGAAAAAAAATTCTTTAACTCATTAAAAGGGCTGTGGTAAGGGGAAAGAACTAATTTGTTTGCATAGTAAAAGGAGAACACATGAAAGCATCTATTTGCACTTGCACGGGCAGTATCATGAAAGTTCATGAGCGTCTCCTTAACTCCCCTACTCTGCTGAGTCTTTGTTGTGTGTTGCATAGCTGCATGTGTTCTAGGGGAACTTACTGACTTAACTCTCGTTTTCAAAAATTGAGTCTTCATGCGATGGTTAAAGGGAGGGATAGTATGTGGTGTCTTGAGTCAAACTTCAGAGAGCTAGTGCTGGACCTGTCTCACTTGCTAAGACTACAGGAATTTCAGTGTTGACTGAAGGGAGTTAACATCAGAAGCTTATGATCTGCTTCTGGCAGACAACTGTTTCTCGTAAGAGTGATGCTGTTCAAGGAGAGGCTTGAAATGAGTAAACTAGGAAGACTAAATGCTATGCTAAAAGAGTTCTGATACAAATTGTGAAGTCTGTAGAGAGAAACCTATGCAGATCAGACTATAAATATGCAGGGTTTGAATGTTTCTGTAATAATTTTCACAAGCGTCGTGACTTTCTACATTTTTAAAGCCAGCAGGATGCTCATTTCTGTTAGTGAATGGCAATTCAGGCTACTTGAATTTTGGAGTTGTTTTTTGTTTGTTTGTTTTTAAATAGTCTCACTAGTCTCCAGTCAACATGAAATCAACACTACTTGTGCTCTTACCAGTAAATTCTGTTGTCAGATATCATCACAAGGACCGCCACTACACTAACTGTATACGCCAGACAGTCTCTAAACAGCGGCCAACAGGATAGCCTCGAAACCTGCAGAACACATTCATTTACTTTTTTTTTTAAACTTGTCTGTTATACTTTCACTAAGTGCTGTAAATGCTGCATCAATATGTTGTTTCTATATTGTGTAAAAACTTATGATTCTTAGGAATGACTTAAGTATGATATTTAATAAGTTAGTGTTTTTAAAAACTTTCATAGCAAGTTATCTTAAAACTGATTACATGCTGGTTTTGCTACTAAATAATAAACTTGACAGTTGTCATAGTAAGTCTCTCTTGGCTTTTGTCAGTAAATCAGAAAAGATAATCAATTTGTCCCTGAGCAGCATAACTATCAAAGACGATACATACCACACTAGAAAAGAGCCCACAAGCTGCACAAATACCAAGAAGATTATAGACTGCTGATCCAAGGATGGTGCTAACACCGATATCTCCCTTTGTGACGAAGACTCCTGTAAGGAAAGTCACTCTTTCTGGTTATGTTCCAGTCTGGCATGCAAGGAAAAGAGAATTTTAGATTCTGAGGAGTCAAAACATGTCTCTTACCTAGAAAAGCAGTGACAAGCTCTGGAGCAGAGCTTCCAGCAGCCATAAAAGTTGCTCCAGCAACGTCCTGAGAGAGGCCAAGGCCTGAGGATAGAGTAAAAGAATTGCTAAAAAAAAAAATCATATACTTCAGTAGTCTGTAGCCATTATTCACATCAGTCTGTATATGTTAGAAGTTACTATATTTTAATATAAATAGAATTAACTTTGCTTACTTCTATGCAGTTTGCATATATTTATTTGAAATTAGTAAAATAATACATTGAAAACAGCCTTGTTTGTTGGCAGATAGGCTTGGGCTGACTTATTTGTAAATTTATTACAAAAATTAGTTTAATGAAAAAGAACTACAGCTAAGATCATGCCCAAATCTCTTGTATTAAAATAGATGTACTTATTTAGGCTTTAATTCTACTTCATATGGATAACAGTTGCAAGGAGATTTCCTTGGACTATAGTGTGGTATGGCCACATCGAGTTTATCCATCTTGCAGGGAAATCCATGCTACTATGTCTTCATGTACCAGACATAAGAGTTAAATTCAGACCAGTGCTGCTTGGATCTTACAGTCCAATATTCACTTTCTATGGACAGTGTAAGAGCCTGTGTCTTGTTTGAATGAAATGAGATTTTTGTTCTGAAGCTATTTCTGAAGCATACCTATCACTTTTTGGATTAAGCTCACAGTGAAGAGCAGTGTGGCTAACTGTGGAAAACCAGTCTGAAAAATGCTTATTTATCATCAATAAAATGATATATCAGCTCCACAGCAATGTTTAAGCTTACAATTCCTGTAAATGTTCTGATCCTGGAGAATGTTTTCCGGTGTTCAAGGATGTGGTTCCCTAGCTTTTGTTTGTTTGCTTGACGGTGGCTAAGACCATCTTCTTTTCAGTTCAGTGACATTTCAATTCAGTCATATTTCAATATAGCCTGCTGGAGCCGGGCAGTTATTACAGGCCGATTAGAATCCACCAAGCTATTGCAACTGTAGAATTTCTTCTCTTCCTGCGTTGTACCTTCAATATGTATACGGTAGCTCATGATGATACTTGTTCAACTTTTTTGGGAGAAATACAGAAACTTTAGTAAGGAAAGTATTTCCCATGTTTTAATACAGGAAGAGTTTGGGTTTCTTAGGCTTTTGTGGTCGGGGGGGGGGAACTTTGTTAGTAACCTAGACATAATACTGCTCACCCCGTTATGTTGTCAGCTTAGTTAATACTGAGGACGTTTTAAGGTTTGTTTTTGCAGGCATAAGGAAAGCATTTGTTAAATAAGTGCTTAACTTGGAATGCAATTAGAGTTTCTTTTTAAATACTGTACAGATATGTTGCATCAGTTTAAATAGTGTATCGGTGAGCCTAAGTGCGCGGAGAGGCTGGAGGCCGGCTAGCGCTGCCTGCTCCGGCCCCGCAGCTCGCCCCGGAGAAGGCGCTGCGCGAGCGGTTGGTTGGACGGGAGCATCAGGACATGCACTTACATTCGCTAATGATCTCTAGAGAAGGCAGGAAGTAGTCATCGCATACAATAGACACCGCCAAAAACATGTAAAGTATAATTATGAAATAGATAACGATTCCTCCGTCCTTCCTCTCCTGTGGTGTAAAAAACCCTTCAGGAAACTCCGATGAAGAGGAGGGGACGCAGCTCGTGCTGTTGCCTGAAAAGCGAGAACAGCGGTGTTACGCATCCCAGCTAACACCTTTTTTTATTCTTCAGGCGGTAGGACTTCGGCGGCTTATCGCTCCAAACGGAGGATGGCCTTCAGCGGATTTCTTTTAAATAGACGCATTTTTGATTGAGGGACGAGCCTAGCTGCGGCAGTACCGATAAAGAGGCAGCAAGGGGGAACCTCGCGGATCGGCTGATGCCAGCTGGCCTC